GCGGTTGCATGTGGTGGAAGTTAATCCCAGACCTGTCTCCAAAAGGTTCCATGATGTGTTGCGTCCTTGTTGAAGTAGTTTGCACCTGTTTTTTTTTTTTTGATTTTTTCCTTCTCTTTTTTTTTTCATTTTTTTTAAAAAGAAATTCATCATTTCAAATGCTCTTGACAAAGACTGAGATAAAACTTGTCAGCTTAAAAATGCAATTTGAATGGGAGACAGTGTCTTCCACCGTGTCGACACTCAATTTCTCTCCTTGGCATTTAACGTCAGTTGACGTTGAGGGATAAATATTTCCTTTGAGATGCACGATTCTTTTTCTGGCAGTGCATGATTTCTTGCAGGGCATGAATATCTTTTTGCGACATGTAAACTTTTGCGAGGAATTGAATCTTCTCGCTATGCATAAGATTTTGCGAGGGATGAAATCTTCTCGCGATGCATGAATTTTCTGCGAGGTATGGAATCTTCTCGCGATGCATGAATTATCTGGGAGGTATGAAATCTTCTCGCAATGCAGGAATATTGACTCGCAATGCATGAATATTAACTCGCAATGCATGAATTAACTCTCGATGCATGAATTGACTCTCGATGCATGAATATGAACTCGCAATGCATGAATTTTCTGCGAGGTATGAAATCTACTCGCGATGCATGAATTTTCTGCGAGGTATGGAATCTTCTCGGCGATGCATGAATTATCTGCGAGGTATGAAATCTTCTCGCGATGCAGGAATATTGACTCGCAATGCATGAATATTGACTCGCAATGCATGAATTAACTCTCGATGCATGAATTGACTCTCGATGCATGAATATGAACTCGCAATGCATGAATTTTCTGCGAGGCATGAAATCTTCTCGCGATGCATGCATTTTCCTGCGAGGTATGGAATCTTCTCGCGATCCATGAATTATCTGCGAGGTATGAAATCTTCTCGCGATGCAGGAATATTAATTCGCAATGCATAAATTAACTCTCGATGCATGAATATGAACTCGCAATGCATGAATTTTCTGCGAGGCATGAAATCTTCTCGCGATTCATGAATTTTCTGCGAGGTATGGAATCTTCTCGCGATGCATGAATTATCGACTCGCAATGCATGAATATTAACTCGCAATGCATGAAATTAACTCTCGATGCATGAATTGACTCTCGATGCATGAATATGAACTCGCAATGCATGAATTTTCTGCGAGGCATAAAATCTTCTCGCGATGCATGAATTTTCTGCGAGGTATGGAATCTTCTCGCAATGCAGAAATATTGACTCGCAATGCATGAATATTAACTCGCAATGCATGAATATTAACTTGCGATGCATGAATATTAACTCGCAATGCATGAATATTAACAGTGATGCATGAATTGACTCTCGATGCATGAATATTAACTCGCAATACATGAATTAACTCTCGATGCATGAATATGAACTCGCAATGCATGAATTTTCTGCGAGGTATGGAATCTTCTCGCGATGCATGAATATTAACTCTCGATGCATGAATTAACTAGTGATGCATGAATTCCGCAAGGTATGAAATCTTCTTGCGATGCATACATTTCTGCGAGGTATGAGATCTTCTCGCGATGCATGAATATTAACTCTCGATGCATGAATATTAACTCTCGATGCATGATCTTCTGCGGGGCATGTATATCTTCCCGCGACGCATGATTTTTCGTGATGCATGATTTTTAACGAGGCCTGGATGGCTCGATAATGTTCCAATTGTAACGAGGTGGATGGCTCGATAATATTCCAACTGTAACGAGGTGGATGGCTCGATAATGTTCCACTATAACGAGGTGGATGTCTCGATAATGTTCCAACTGTAACGAGGTGGACGGCTCGATAATGTTCCAACTATAACGAGGTGGACGGCTCGATAATGTTCCAACTGTAACGAGGTGGACGGCTCGATAATGTTCCACTGTAACGAGGTGGATGTCTCGATAATGTTCCAACTGTAACGAGGTGGATGGCTCGATAATAGTCCAACTTCAAATGAATTTTTGAGATCCTCTCAAAAATTCTGTCCCAGTTTCCATTATGAAGAGAAATGGAAATCTTACTGGGTATATGACCGAGCCGTTGTGGCGCCTACGTATCCCATTGGAGTAGGAATCAGGTCAAACGTAGTTCCCCTCTTGTGGATGATGAGTGCTGCAAAGAATCTGAAAGATTATCAGTAGAAAATGCACAATATGAACATGATGGAATATGCAAATGGTATTCCTTGCTATATTCAAAGCCTAAAACAAGACATATCACATTTTGGGTATGGACAACCTAATGAAGTAAAATAGGCGTCTCACACATATAAGATTAACTTAATGACACCTTTTATAATGAACAACTCAAAAGACAATTTTTTTTTCAAAAATAAAAGAAATGTGAGGAGATAGTCAAATCTTCACTATGATTGGTACCAACAGTTAGGATTGTAGGTAAATCTCCCATTCTTTCTTTCCTTTTTTTTTTTAAGATTGAATTAAGGTAATTCCTACAGCTTCAAGTGGTATCTCAAATATACTTAAGGATTGACAAGATCCGTTCATCTTGTTTCAAACAAAGATTTTAAATTGTATCAATTCTCATGTTTCAAGTGCCCTCACGACAAAGGTTAGTCCTATTTCACACATATTTGAAACATTTTGTTATAGGACATTTTTCAGAGTGCACTCACACTCACAAGGATGTTCAATGCACACAACAGTGATACCATATGCTTGACCCTTATGTAAATCTCCACTAATGTGAGAATATTCGGAATGAGATCATGTAGGGCTTGTCATTGGCTTGTAACGTAGGCTTAGGGATGGATAGGATATTTATTTGAAGTAAAAGTGACTGAATTCCTCCTTGAGCGTCACACAGATTTTGTGCTGTTAATGATTGGTACGCCTTTGGCGTTAGATCCTCTTCATTGTTCTCCCAGCTTTCAAATTCTTTTGAATTCTCATTTTGAACGCTTTCCCCCTTCTTCTTTTTTTCATTTCTCATTTTTTGAGCTTTTCTCTTCTTCTCTTTTTTCTTCTTTTGAGTCCTTATCCCTTGGAGCTTTTCTTTTATTCCCTTCTTTATTATAATAATCTTTCCCTTTTTTTTGTCGGAGTATTTTCCTTCCCACCCTTCACTGATCTTGTAAAGGAATTTCTTTACCTCTCTTTATTTCTTCCACCTGTTTTTTTTTCTTTTTCTCTAGAGTCTTTGCTTCCTTGACTTTGGGAGACTCAATATCTTTGCTTTTTGAAATTTCAAACATTGATCTCCTTTTATAATTTGCACATTCTTTGTGCACTCAAGAAGGTTGGGCCAAGAGAGGATAGTGCTCGTAAGCACTCAAAAGGGTAGTGGTTAAGATGTAGTTGTCCAAATGAAAGTTTCAGGCTCAAATGGGAAAGCTAGGGATTAATGTAATTTGGTAGGCTTTGAAAGGCACAATCGGGTCAAAAAGGCCTACAATCCTTTCTCAAACCAAACATTACTCATGATTTCGCCTCGAAAAACATTCAGGTCAAGTTCTAGATCAACAGTGTAACACAATTGAACTTTGATCAAAATCTCACCACACAATGCACCTAAAACATAAGGTTAGTTTTATTCTTATCTTGATTGAATGCAAGAGAATTTTCAAGCATCACAAAAGTACAGATAAGAGGTACCACGAGAATCTGTAGTTTACCGCAAAGTCAGTCTTTTCCACATATCGAATACATTTACATGCTCTTAACCATATAGGTCCCGACCGAGTTGAAGACATGACTCTAACAGTATGTACAAATAATTTTTTTTTGAAAAATAATAATACCGAACCCAAGAAGGGTTGCCTACGTATCTCATTAACATGAGAATCAGGTACGCGTAGTTCGATCAGATATGACTTAGAAAATATGCACAAACTATCATTTTTTTTTTGAAAAAGATAATACCGAACCCAAGAAAGGTTGCCTACGTATCTCATTAACATGAGAATCAGGTATAGTAGTTCGTCCAGATATGAGTGGGAAAATATGCACAAACGATTTTCAATTTTTTTTAAATTTTTTTTGAGAAGATTATACCGAACCCAAGAAGGGTTGCCTACGTATCTCACCGAAATGAGAATTAGGTACGCGTAGTTCGACCAGATATGACTTGGAAAAATATGCACAAACTATTTTATAATTTCTTTTTCGTTTTTTTTTGGAGAAGATAATACCGAACCTAAAAAGGGTTGCCTACGTATCTCATTAAAATGAGAATCAGGTACGCGTAGTTCGACTAGATAAGGCATATAAGAATTTGAAGATTTAGACAACTCAAAGAAATTCCTAGATCTAGCGCCACTAAATTTGTAGTCATGAAGTTATTTTTTTTTCACCAATATATTTTATAGCCTCTTAATCGTCAATATTTATACTGTCTGTTGAATGTACCCTGTGAATTTATACAGTAACGATTTGTTGTACTCTTTTTGGATGTTTTCTTGAATCTTTGTCTCCTTCTAATTTTCACGAGATCCAGACATTGTTATGACCATCCCCGACAGATGTCGGGGATGGTATCCCTACAAAAATATGAGAAATATGTGAGAGGAGAACCGACATGCAAAATAATAATAAAAATAAGTGGATGCGACCTCATAGTCAAATACTCCCCTAATTTATTGTTTTGACTTGATATTAATGTCTTGTGAAATACAGGGACTTGAATTTCGTAAATCCTCTTGTCTCTTGCGGCTTCGGACAAATAATGATTTCTGAATTTGAACATAAATTAATTTTTTGCTGTAAAGAAGAACAACTCAAAATGTAAAAAGTGTTAGTTCATATACATAATGAATAATGTCAAATATCACACAAATAATGAATAAAACACATAAATACTGTTCTAATTAAAGACAAACTAAATATATCACATAGTATACAAACAATTATTGCGCGTCCTATACAAATATGTGATCCTTTTATGCCTAGGGTAGGCCTATCGATTTGAAGAATGTATACGTCATTTCAAAATATTTCATTGCCCCAAAACTCAAAATTATACAAACTTTATAAATAAAACTTAATGGGATACATAATAGGGGAAATGTATACAAAATAATTAGTCTCACACATGGGTACGACCCTAAACTATGCCTCCGCGAAATATCCTTCTGCTTTCTTGATTTGTTGTCATATCCGGGTGCTAAGATCTTCGAATAGGCTTGCAGCTGATGAAGCTCTTTCTTTAACCTAAACAAACTATAATCTAATATTAATCCTATGAGACAATAATTTTCTCAAACAACATATACATCCTTCAAATTTAAACACATAAGTACGAACGTCCATTTAGACCGTGGGCCGTTTTGGACTCAAGGTGGTCTTCTAATGGACCCAACACGCCTTGGGTATTGAGTCATCTTAGTTCAAATGCGCTATTTTTGGGATTTTGCTCGGCTCTACACTAGTTTACTAGGAGTGATTTGTATTTATAATGGAAAAGGTAATCCAAGCGGACTACTTGAGCTGGGACAGTTAACGATCGTTGACTATCAAGTAGCCAACTATACTCGTCAGGGTGTCCCGAAAAAATCTTTGGTTAATGAACAATTGCGAACCCGCATAATCGTCCTTTAGTGGAAATGAAATAAATTTCGTTTGACGGAAAATATTATGCCTATGAATGCAATGATAATATACCTACTACAAGATAAATAGTGAATAAATACAATATACAAATAATCAGCGTAATATAAAAATACAAGATGTAACATAATAATAAAGCAAAAATTTCCTCAATTTGAAAAAATAAATAAATTCGTATTGGTTAAAACCTCTAAAACTCCCCAGTGAAGTCATCATTCTGTTTACATCCCTACTCTTTCGAAATAGGGCGAAACGTCACGGCAACTCGAAAATAAATTAATTGTTTCAATTTTAATAAAGTTGTAAAAATAAACGAGTTTTAAAAAGAGTCGCCACCTAATTTTAGGGAAACTAGGAAACCAATTATTTATCTACGAAACCAATTCGATTCTAGGTAAGGGGTTCAAGTTATTTCGAAGGGAAGGTGTTAGGCACCCTTCGGAATCCACAAATATGGTTCCCGACTGAATTAATTTTTTTTTCAAATTGAGGAAGAATATAATAAACACATATAATAAACACACAATATACACAATAAAGCAATAATTATCGGCCTAAAGTTTGCCTAACGTCAATATTCACAAAATAATGAATGAAATATAATTCAAACTTTTTCGAATAATTTCAAGGAGAAGCACCTCCGGATACCTATAAAGACACTTGATAAAAGAGTTAAGGGCAAATAAATATAACTAAAAATGAATAACTCAAATAATAATTTAAGAATAAAAATCCGTCTTATTGACATGGGAGGCCTTGAAAATCGACGGTTATTTCTTTATCGGCCCTTTTCAACATATAAAATATATAAACTAAACATCAACAAAACATAACAAACTTATCCCAAGAGAATATGGAAAACAACAACCAAACTAAAATAACATAATTAGAAATGGAAACAACAATAACGTAATATATAAAAATTAAAAATAACATTAAAATAAAATAATAACAAAACCTTGAAAAGTTAAGATAGCAAATAGTTGACTAACAATTTCAAAATAATAGTAACAATAAATAAATAAACATCGAATCGTAAAAAAATGCTAATATTAAAACTATAATAAACACAAATATTAATTGACTTTTAGAACTACATTAAACTAAAAACAAAACAAGCTACATATAATAAACAGAAAACATAAAAGAGCTAAAAATTAAATAAAACAAGGCTAAAAATTTTTTACCTGGTTCTGGACAACGAATCGAAACTCCGAGTTTGAAAGAGACGACTCCACCTCCTCACCTCGAAAAACCACAAAAACACTTTAAAATTTTTTGAACTATGGGAACTAAAAATTCTCAAAATTTTATGAGTTTTCTTTAGTTTTCCCCTCCAAATCCTCCTCTAAAATATTGAATGAAGTGGGTTTATATAGAAACCCAAAAATCCTCAAAAAGGGTAAACTACCAATGTGGGACTATTGTAAAATTGAAAATTGTTTGAGTGACAATGTGGGAAAGGTAATATTTTTTTTGTATTTGACTCTAAATGTGTGAATTTTAAAATCATCGGACCAAAATTTACTATTAAATAAATAAAGCTCCAAAATCACGAATTTTTAAAATGTTAGGCCAAAATTGGGTGTCAACAATAAGTATGATATTTATAAAAAATGACTATAATTTAACTTTTTTTCTAGCTATATTATTTTTATGTTTTTTATTTTTCTATTTATATATTAATACAGTTTTAATTACAATGAACTAAATAATGAAACTGTATTAGTTGTACTAATTCAAATTAGTATCTTTATTTATAAAATTTAAAGTATTAATATATCAAGGATACAAATATTCATAAAAATTTATTGTATTAATATATTAAACAAGATAAAGTATAACAATTTAGCATGTGAACACGATAATTTATACATTGTTATTATACAAAAAATGAATACACTAATATAGTATACACATGAATACATTGTTGTAAAACAAAAGATGAATATATTTGACAATAAAGAAACAAAAAAATGAAAAATAATAAAATGTGTAGGTAGCAAAAGTGTGCAAGTATTCGGTTGTACGAAAAAAAGAAAAAAAATCAACAAACCTCAATCTCTTTTTGGTCAAATTTTTGTTATAATACTTGAGAACTGGTGTTGATCATGTATTTATTTATAAAAAATAGTATTAATGTATTAAATTATACTTGTATTACCTAATTAACTTTTCAAATTCGATAGATTACTTATGTATCCAAGTATACTTGTATTTAGAAATCACCATTTCAACTTGTGTAGAACACAAGTGTGTATATATATATATATATATATATATATATATATATATATATATAAAACTATTATACTATATACAAATCTGACAATCACACAAACCTCAATCTCTTTTTGTCCGTGCTCTTCTTGAATTACTTTTTATTTTTTATAACTATAGTTATTGTAATGTAGAAACAAGTCAATCGAAAGCCTATAAAAATAGATGCAACATATATGTATACAAATATGATCTTCATAAAAACGAGGAGAAAATCAATTAAGTGATATTTGATGAAATTCAAATTACAAAACTTGCTTCTAAAATCATCAAAAAACACTTAAATTGAAAGAAAATTGGGATAAAGGAAGATTGATGAAAAGTAAAGTATTAGTGAGGATAAACATGGAGAACCAATCACATAAAACATGTCTAGACATAATAAAATAGGTATGTAATAATAACTTTCCTATTTAATATTAATAACTTTTGTAATTATTTATATATAAAATCAACTTTGCTATTTATTGTGTAATTATAATCCATATAACACAAAAAAAAATGAAATGTAGCTATTTATTTTAAATATATATTAATGTTTGTTATATTTTGTAGGTTTTCCTAATTATATTTGATTAGTTTTTTTTTTTAAAAAAAAATGCATACTAGATAGAAATGGATAATTGTTTTGTTTTTTTATTTAAAAAAAAAGGTTGAAAAACACAAAAGAGAAGTATTGATAATGTTTTTAAGATATGAATTGTTATCTTTTATCTTCAAATTATTGACAACCTTAAAAACACTCACTTACTTAACTGATTGAATATGAATACGCGTTCAATCTTGTAACAAGAGTGAAATACACTCCTGAATTCTTGTCAACTTTAAGGGTGTTTTCAACACTTTTTTTGATTTTTTATTAAGAGTTTCATGCTCCAAGTGTTTGAGGCCACTTGCTATATTATATTGTTGATTAAGGATGTATCTAAATTCAGTTAATTACGTAAAAAAAATATGTTTAAAGGTACGAAACTAATGATTTCCATTAAATTCAAATATATTTTTAATATTTCTCACGGTAACACAATGATGACTTTAATACACATTTTAACAAGGAAAAGTATACGCTGACCTAATTTGTTAACCTTAGTCTACTTACCATTGTTAGGCAAAAATTGAAGTAAAATGTCCTACACATTAATTATATTAGACAATTAAAGTCAACAAAAATTAAAGATATTGCTAGTAGCTAACTCTCAACTTGATCAAAGGTACGAAACAAAACAAAATAAAACATATTTTGTATGCCAGGAATCACCTTAATTGTTTTTTTTAAAATTTTTGGTTTAATCATCTGGTTTCGAAGCCTCCTACCTAAACTTCTCAGATACGTGCCACTTAGAATACATTACAAGAAAAAATGTTACCCCACCAAATATTTATTTACAGCATATAATTTCTAAAATAAAAGGATGTGATGCCATTCTTCAGAAGTTAAACTAGACTTGTACGCTTGACATGAAAAGTAGAGGCAAGCGGAGTTAAAGGCCGAGTCTCAACCAGCAAAGGGGGACAGCCATGCCAACAATCTGGTTGGCGGCATTTTCAAATGAAAAACATAAAAGATTATTTGGATCATTGTTTCAATGTATCTCAGCCTTTCTGCAAGTTCTAATTTAGAAGGCTGAAATTGACCATTAGAAAACAAAACAATGGCCAATAAAAAGAATTCTCCATTGAAGTTGATTTTAATGAGCATAAAACCAGGCATTTTCTGCAGACTGTCAGCCTGTTCAACTGACCGTATCATCTATGTCATTTCAGTTTGAGAGAAGGTTCATTCATGTTATTATTTGTTAACGGAAACGAAACAGATGATTCCAATTTCAACATATGACATAGATGAGACTTTTCTCAAAGTTCAATGACATCTTTGATCTTTTTTTCATTAAATATTGATTCAATTAATGACGTGATCGGATTATAATTGACCATTTATGTAAAAGTGGTTTTGTAAAGCTGAAATTGTTCTTAGTTAATAAATAACGACATGGATGAACTTTTTCTCAAATGGAAATAATGATATATATGAGACAATTTTTTAACAGATGAAATAAATAAATATTTTCTCAAAGTTAGATGATATATTTGAGCCCTTTTCCTTTTGAAAGAAAAATTATTATTGTACAGTATATTACATTTTTGAAATACCATTTTGGTAATTATAAAGATAGAGCAAGCGTACGATACACATATTATTTGCTAAGTGTGTTTTACAAATTAGGTATAACATCAATACTTAGTAAAAGGTACAAAAGTTTGGCTTTCAAAAGTCAAAATGAATTAGTTTTTTTAAGGGGGTTGAGCGGGGGGGGGGGGGGGTATTATTACTTATTACCTAATTGAAAAGTTAAAATGAGCATTGCTTCACTTGTTTTTATTCTACAATTCTCAGTTCTCTCTACTCAAACATGTCTAAACAAGAAAAATCAAATGTCCTTAGCATTTGCATGAAAATGCTAATTTGTTGTTTACTCTTATACGTGTGCACCGTTATCTTTCTCAATAACTATAATCTTTTATCTACTTCTCAAACAAGAACATAATCCAAAATTGTTGCACAAACCAACATTTGTCACCTTGTTTTTGGACTTTTAGGTAATGAAAGAGCATGGCATCATAGAAAACATTATGTTGAAGTATGGTGGAGACCAAATGTTACAAGAGGACATATTTTCTTGTTCCTCCTAGAGGTGATCTTCTCCCATGGTCCTTAAATTTACCTCCTTATCGAATATCCAATGATATTCGAAAACTTGTTAAGGAAACAAATCATGTTGATCCAAGAGTAACAAGAATGGTTCATGGGATTATGGAGGTGGTTAGACAGGCACATGACGGGGTAAGATGGGTAATTTTGGGGGACGATGATACGATATTTTTTGTTGATAATATTGTTGATATTCTTGCACAATATGATCATAAGAAGTATTATTATTTTTGAGGACATTCGGAATTTATATTGTCAAATTATTGGTATTCATTTAATCAAGGTTTTGGTGGAGCTGGAATTATGTTGAGTTATCCTTTGGCTAGAGAATTTGCTCACAATGTGATGTCTTCCTTAAAGAGATATGCTCATTTGAAGTCGTCTCATCGAACAACAATGGTTTGTATGGCTGACCTTGGAGTAAATCTTACACTTCTTCAGGGTATTCATCAGGTATGTTCATAATATATACGTGTTGTGATCTTTAACTTGGTCACAACAGATGTATACGTCGTCTAATATTGGGTCTGCATAAGCAGACACTAAAGTTTGTATAGAGTTGAATAAGTAGACACATACGTCATACTTAACAATTCACATTCTATATAACAGCATGCATGCATTAAATCACATAAGATGAACGTATCTAGTTAACTTGACGTCCTATGCATTATATATGATTTTGTGTGTGGGGGGGGGGGGGATTTTGACTTATCTACCCTGATAATTGATTTATTTAACAAAAACAAATTATATGCATAAATCATTTATTGGGTGAGAAAAGTCTTATCAACTATTGTACAAATTATTTGAGTGTAGTTTGCTCTTTTCCCTAATTAATAAATTAATTTTATACCTTAGTAGATTGATCTCCGTGGTGACATATCAGGATTTCTATCGTATCATCCAAAATCTCTATTAACGTATATTCACCATTTTGACATGTTTGACCCAATATTTCCCTTTATGGATCGTGCACAATCAATATTCCACCTTCAAAATGCTGCAAAATATGATCAATCACGCATGTCACAACAAACCATATGCCACCATAGGTCTAAAAGTTGGACATTTTCAGTTTCTTGGGGATACTCAGTTCATATTTATGAGAAAATTATGCCTAGAAGTTGGATACAAAGTCCAATTGAAACATTTAAACCATGGCAAAATAGTCCTAATCCACCAGGTTATATGTTTGATGTTAGAAGTACTTCGCGGGATCCTTGTGAAGCTTCTCATGTTTTTTTCTTTAATTCCGTTGAAAGAACACCAAAAAATGAAATTGTTACAACATATACAAGAGCATAGCCTCGAGGGATTGGGACTTGTTTGTATGCTGGAAATCATTCTGCAGAGTATGTTTCTGAAATTCA